GCAGGAATTTTTGTCAGGTCAAGAACCTTGAGGTCGTTGATGGACAGGCCGAAAAAGCCGTCCGACGAGTTGCCGGCCAGCAGAGAAGCGACTCTGCCGCTGTCTTTGCCGCCGCCGCCGCTGGCACTCAGAAGCGAACTGATCGTGCTTAGCGTGTAGTTGTCGCTGACCATCTGCTTGATGTAACGATCCTTCAGGGCCTGTGTCTGTTCCTTGCTGAGACCGATGATCGTGCCGCCGTTCATCACCGACTTTACCATTTCGGTCGGCAGCGACGACAGCGGTGGCAATGACGTACTCTCCGCCAACAGCTGCTTCGCGTTCGCCTCGATCAGGCGTTGTAACATTTGTGGTGGAACACCCGGAATCTGTCCCCCTCTTAGCACGTAATCGATCAGCTCTGGAGGGACATTCTTCAGGTCGCTGGTCAACGACGGTGATGGCCTTGACGGGATGTGACGTATCAGCTCAGGGATACTTTTGATGAGCGTCTTTACGTCTGATGACGAGACGCTGTCCCCTCCGGAAATCAGTCGTGACAACGGAGTAGTCAGCTGGTTCAACGTTGGCAGCAGCCCACCTTTGCCGTTTTCCACCGCATGCTCACTGTCCGACTTCTGCTGCATCAGTTCCTTCAGATGTCCGTAGTTGCCGATCAAATTTGTAAGGTCCAATGGTGGCAGTTGTGCCTCTAGAATGAAAAAGAATAATTGTTTCTTTTTTCATTAGACTTTCTATCATAATTCATGATTCAGTTAAAAATCTCATCATAGGAAGTAAACAGCACATAAGATTTAAAATTTGCGAATCAGGGCCCACTGTCGTTGCAATATTAGCAAATTTATTAATTCACAACCTTGCGATCAAGCATTTATTTGTGCCACTAACTGAAGATCAACAAATTCACTATCTTTTCAAAAACCGACTTAGACTTGTTTAATATTTAAAGTTCCTGTTTTTATCTGCTCTTTTCTGCCATATTTTATTTCTGCCACTTTGTAACCGCGAATTTTGTTCTTCTGTATCCCTCTATCCTCAGTTGAAACAGTGTGAAAAATTATCAGAAACGCCAGCAGCAGATTGGATATTCTAATATTAGACCAGTGTGAGGTACCAGATACAAGATTGGCTAGTTTAAGTTGCCAACTCCAGAAGTACAATTGATTGTTAGTGAAAGAATACATTTGACATATGTTAAAAGATTCATTTGCAAACAAGATACGATCTTGCAAAAACTAACCTTGCTTTCCAAAATTAACCGACCCTTCTGACTCTTTACCAGAGCACTGAAAGTTAATGAAAAGTCTCAAGTGAAAAATGTTCAATAATACAAACCTGAAAATCATTAGGAGTGGAATCTAAAAATTATCAAGAGGCTTAATGACTGAGGTACTAAATGAACACCTCTCAAACATATCTTTTCGTTATTGGTTAATTATATCCAAAATGCAATCATGCGTTCAATCATCCTGAGGTGATTTCTATACTAATGTGTGAAAATCAATCTTTACCTTTCTGCATCGTCTGGTTTGCCTTCTCGATCAAGATATCCTTCAGCAATGTGCCAGGCGGCTTCGCGCAAACAACCTCCCGCTGACCGGGCAAAAACGTCCGTACCTCGTTCTGCAGCAAGTAGTCAAAAAACCACCGGATTTTGTTGTCGCATTCGAGACCGTTTCCTAAACACACCGTTTCCTACATATCTGGCTCCTCAGTGGAACACAAGCATATTAACGTTGTATCTAGGCGTCCAGTAGGGGAAACTCGATTTTTGAAATTAAATACATCCGGTGCATAAATAGCTCAACGAGGGAAAATCTAAGATGATGTTGACTAAAAGTGCTTTACCACACTTAGCCGTTCACTTCTTCTCATGAACGTCACATATCTTAGATTGGATATGTTCTTCTACGGGAGAGAGCTGTAGCTAGCAGATAATCTCATCGCCATCACCTGCTTTATCGTCTGTTCAGCACTGCATAGAATGCAACTGTCACGTTTATGTACCTTCTTAACCAAAGGTTTACCGCGCATGACCCATGACTCATATGCGGTCAGCTTGGGATCACTGCAAGTATCAAATTAGCCATTCATAGATGAGCTGAAGCAATCACTCGGATTATCATAAAGGTCGTTTCCTCCAACCGAAAAACACATGGGCAATGTAAGTTAACTGCAATACCGGCCTACCTCTTTTCCCATGCATCTACTTGACTGTCCGCATCTGACCAACTCAAAGATTCTCACTGACAGCGTGCATGAAGAACTATAGCAATGAACCTTTTATAATATCTTATCATTACGGAAGTTAATTATCTGACATAGATATGGCTGCTTACTGTGTGACACTACCAGCACGGATATACTAGTCAACAACTCCCACCTGTTTTGTTAAAAAAGAGAAAATGGCAAACTACCTTGCAAAAGTAGATGGTTGATCTTTGCTTGAAATACACCCTCGTCAAATGTGCTGATGCTGTTGTCGCTCAAGTCCAACCAAAAGAGCTTGCCCAACTTCGTGAAGACGTTTGGCAGGATTTTTTTTAGCTTGTTCTGTCCCAGATCCAGCGTGGACAGCAACGGGACGGTATCAAAGCTTCCAGGTTCAATCGATTGTATCCTGTTCTGTCTCAAGTTCAACTGCTTCAAATTCGGCATTCCGGCAAACATTCCGCTACCTGAAATGACACCATTGTATCAGAAATTGGCAATTCTCTGGCTTTAATTTTGGATCTGGTTCCAAATGTCAATCACATGTACACCTACGTTTAAAGATGAACAAATGACAGGGGCATCAGATGAACTGTTATCGTTCACGTGGCTACATTAGAAGCCACAAAGAAGTCTTATTCGCTTGAAAACGCAGCTGTGCCTGGTATTCTACATACGCAGGAAGAGATGGTATTATCCGTAAACTGTAAACTCATTGAAGCTGTGGCCTCGTTTCGCATAAGGACACTGGACTGTTCAAAATATTCAATTCACCATGCATCAGCAGCTTGCAAATCTAAGCTGCAATCAATCAAGAACAAATTCACACCTGCTTCTTCCATATGGGTGCAGACAATTGGTTATACCACTCTTAAGGCGGTGAAAGGCTTACGGTGCTAGTCGAAAGGGAGGCGAGCGGTAATCCTTCAAAAATATTGTCAACGATTTAAACTAACAATATTAACAGTCGAAAAGAGTGTCTGAAAAACCGATGGAACAAGACCGAAGGTGTAACTCGCTCATTTATAAGAAAAATGTGGATTGGGCAGATTACAGGGAAAAACAGGGTGTATCTATTGCTAATTATCACGCGGAAGAGTCAACTAGCCGACGGGTTAAGACGAACTTCAGTCTCAAGGGTCGGCAGCACCAAACTGCACGACAGTACCTCTCGTCCCTGCTGGTACGACCACACAGAACACCATGTTTTCTATTCATCTGTTAACATGTCATCCACTTTCCAACTGTTTCTCGGCTGACTGCACCAACGCAACGTGGTGGGAATTCTTCACTGCAGAAAATTAGCTGAAAAGGAAAACTGTTCCTCTCGTTCAGGTGTCTAACTCAGCACCTTCATAATTCGAGACTGACCCCTTCGCACTTTTGCACCGCGTCCCCTGTGGATAAGAGCTGATTAAGCGTGCTCCTCGAGAGTTTCGAAGTTCAGTCAACTCAATAATGTTTCGTTACAGGCGCTCTAAAAAGTAAACAAAAGAAAAAT